TATAAAATATAATTTTATTTGATTTTCCAATAAAAAAAAAAAATTAATAAATAAATAATTGCAGCACTATTTTGTCATTTTTTGAAACAATGCTTAAAACTGAAGCATTTGTTTAAAGATAATAATCTTTCACAAATGTTAACGATGATCAACTTTATCTCATATATCTTACACACACATACACACACACACACACACACATATTTATCATACTTTTGATCGATGGTTAGGAACATCATTCTTATATTAATAATTTACATGAGAATTGAAAAATTGCCAACTTCTCTGAGCAATTTTTACTCACGTTTTTTTCTCATGCTCATAAACAAACGTAAGATATTGCAAATAACTATATAAATTGTATGTACCTTCGAGTACATATATATATATTTGGTTGGTAACTATGAAACGAACGATTTTTTTTGTATAGTCTCCTGTATTTTTGAATTGTTTATTAACTCTAAAAAATAAAGAAATTTTGTTGTTGTTGCAAAAAGGCATATATTATGATTTGCCCAATCGTTGACACAAAGTCATAGATGATGCCAATTGTCAATGATTTCAATTGAATATAATAAATAATGTGAAGAAAAAAAAATTGCACCTTTTTTTTTCGTTTTTTTTTTTTAAATTTCATTCAACGCCCCCGTCGTTTCATAGTTTCCAATCTAATACCAACATACTAATATAAATCATAATACTAATTTTATTGAAAAATTAATTATAATTTTAATTAATTTGTAAAAAGTATATTTATTTATTTATTTATTTATTTTGCAAAATATTTAGATAATTTTTACATCGTTCAATTTCTCATAGAAAATAATTTCCTGTAATCAAGCTTAGATAAAAAAAAAAAAAAGAAAAGAAAAGAAAAAAAAAAGAATGAAAGAAGATTGGGAATTCTTCATTGATGATCGTCAGAAGAGGAAGACGAAGAAGAAGAAGAAGAAGACAAGAAACAAGAAACAAGAAACAAGAAACAAGAAACACGTAACAACATTCGAAGCAAATACACCTTGGAAGGAAGAAAACCATGTTGTTATAGGTATACACCATCTCTCTCTCTCTCTCTCTATATATATATATACATAGATGGTAACGTTTATATATGTTGGACTATGCACGAATATCGATTTCCGATTTGCTCAGTTATGCCGTGGAGAATGCAAAACCACTAAACTTATATCGTCGATATACCCCTACTACACGTTTCAATATATACACATAGATATACATATATACATAAACACTAGCACGTCGAAAGGGGAATGCTCTACCTGATCCAGACATGATTAATAAAAAAAAAAAAAAAAGGAAAGGTAGATAGATAGATCTCTTCTACTTTTTTACTCAGTAACCGTTAACATCCGTTTGGTAGTAGTTCAATAACATGAAACTTTAAAACAACCTTTTTACAATTGATGATGGAAAAAGAAAAATAGAACTTGGATTAGAATTATCTTTTAAATTGTATTCTTGTAAATATATTATTTATAATGAATGATAGAAATCGATAAACACAATATTGATGTGTTTTAACCCTTTTGCACAGGCTGGGACATATGCTGTCCTAGTGTTGTTGATAATGCACTGTTATAGGGACATTTATGCATCTCAAAGTGCTTCAATCTTTTAGACATAAAAGTTATTTTATCTAATAATCGCTTGTAGGAGAAATGAACTGTTCTTTGTAATGGGACGAACTTGGACTGATTATTCCGCCATATTGAAAGGGTTAAACAGAATTCAAAATGTGCCTAATACTAAAACTTTGGTCATTCTGGATAAAATTTTGGTACGGGTTCAATAACTTTAGATATTTAGGATCGATCATAAACCAAGAACTCAAGAAAACAATCAATTTAGACAATGTCAGCTCGCAATTGTTGTCTGGGTACTTCAAAATCAGGATATACAGGACAATCATCCTTTATAACAGCGAAACGTGATGTCACTTACGTTACGGTACCAAAAGAAATTTAGGGTTTGAGAAAATAAAGTTGTTTTCGTAAAATGTTCGGTTCAAAACGCGATGAGGAAACGTGCGTAATGGAAAAAACCCCATAACGTAGAAGTACACCGACCGTACAACAAAACCGGACACCATTAACGTCGTAAACTCACGCCGATTAGATGGGGCAGGTGACGTGGGCGTGCATGGGGGGGTGGATCGAACGGTGCATAAAATACTGATCGGTATACCGAACGGGAAAAGACCACTGGGTAGACCGAGACGTTGATGGGAGGACAATATTATTTGGGGATCTTAAAGAAATGGGCTACGAAGACCGCGAATGGACGGGGTCGTGGCTCAGGGACGAGAACACTGGCCGGGATTTGCGTATTTGTGGCAATGAACTTTCGAGTTTCTAATGACAATTGATAATAATAATTCATTGGACGAATAAGAGTGTAAAACCCGTAAACGATGGTGACGGGACCAACCCCCTGTGTGGAAGCAGCATATATCAGATATGGGGGGGGGGACATTCAACAGGAGGTTAGGGTTCCTAATGCCAATTAATAATAATATTAGTTTGTTTCTTTTTGATGATGATGATGATGCGCAGATATAATAGTCGAGTTTTTCTTTTAATTACGATCTTTGGAAACTTAGATAAATAAAATAAAATAATAATAAAAAAATAAATATAACAAGATACAAATAAAATACATGGACAGAAAGAAAGAAGAATGGTGGTTGAGGGTGGTTGGTTGATTGTTAGAGCTCTGCTCTCGTGTTTGAAAATTAAAGATGGAAGAAGAAGTAAAGAAAAAGGTAAAACGGATTCATCCCTTCTAGTCGTTTGTATGTAGTAGTAGTAGTAGTAGTAGTAGTAGTAGTAGTAGTAGTAGTAGTAGTAGTAGTAGTAGTAGTAGTAGCTTTTCATTACATTTATAAATCGCATGCTGGTTCGCCAGCAGGTAGCGTAGAACTCAGTTCACGGAACCAATGGCGATGCTCCAAAGGTTCTTCTCAACCTGACCCAACGACAAGCAGCAGCAGCAGCACATTTCTCCTTGCCGATCGATCTGACGTTATTTTTTTTTTTTCTTTTTATTTTTCTATCTTTATTTCTTTCTTTTTCTCCTTTCATACAGGAAAAATCAGAAACGTCAAAGTCAGACTATAAACATATGTGTGTATGTAAATGTGTAAAGAAGGTTTTTCAATAATCTAGGGTTTAACATTTTTATTATTATATTTTATTTTATTTTTAATTATGGTGTGTGATAATGTTATTTAAAAGGATATTGTATTGATATTTAAGTATCCCTTGGTTTAATCCTGTATAAACGTATTTTATTCTAATCCTATGTGAAACTGTAAAAGGTTTATTATTTTTGAAAACTATGATATACTATAATTATTGAAATATGCCTCTGAATATTGTTTCAATTGACATTTTCTACAGATGATCTTAATAATCATGATCTTCAAATCATTAAAAAAAAAAAAAAATAAATTATTACTAATAATTCAAGTTAAACAAAAAAACTTTACGTATAATTCCTATCAAGATATATACCTGTGTTAAATTATATCACATGAAACCGAACAAAGGTAAAATGTAGTAAATAACTCTTTCGGAAGGTCTCGCAGGAAGGATTAAGGGAAAGTGCATGTCGTCGAGTGCGACAATTGGCAGAAGGGAATGGGACGATTGGGGGAGGTGAAAGAGTTGAGTACGGCGAAGTGGCCCTAACGGCTGGGTAAGGTTCATCGACCTCGGATCACTGTGCACCTCACCAGCCCACCCTTTGAAATAAAAAGCAAAAAAAAAAAAAGAAAAAACCCGCTAAAAAAGACTACTACTACTACTACTACTACTACACATTCAACAGGATTTTTTTTTTTGAACATAATAATCATGTAACAGGATAATTAATGTTAAGAACCGAATTTAGGAAGAGGATGGTGGAAACAAAGGTGCGAGAAAATATGGGAATATTAATTTTTAGGTTAGTTCTCAACGAAAAGATACATTTATGAATAAAAAGGATTTAAAATTGATTATTGAAATTATCTTCAACAAAGGGGGGTTCAAATCTTTCCACGTTCTTCTTATTAGCAATTTCAGATATTATCGAATAGCATCTTTTTGATCTACCACCCTTAAAACAATAATCCTATATACGTTACAAAAGTTAATGGAACTTGAAAGAGAAATTTAGTAGTTGGTAACTTCATTTGTCGTACATGAAAAGCAATATACGTAAGCGCCCGTGTGTATGTGTGTGTGTTCTTTATATGAAAGAGAAGATACCCCATCTCTCTCTCTCCCCCTCAAAATCCCATTTAGTTTAAAAGTTGTCCTACAAAGAAACATTCACACTTCTTTTTCTTATTGTGACGTAATAATAATGAAACAAATTTATTATCATTATCTATTATCGAAATACATTCTTATCTCATTTAATTTCATTCAAAGATTCAACCCTAACATCCTGTTGAATGTCCCCCCTCCCCAATATCTGATGTATGCTGCTTCCACACAGGGGGTTGGTCCCGTCACCATCGTTCACGGGTTTTACACTCTTATTCGTCCAATT